AACCAACTTCTTCAGGTTTATATGACAAATGTATTACGTTATCACCGTTAACCAACTTCTTCAGGTTTATATAACAAGTGCATTACGTTATAAGTATCATGATGACCGGGGGTTATAAACATCGAATCAGTTTAGAACTTGGTAACATAAAAAGCTTTCGTAGGAAGAACCGTTTCCCTGAAAACAAGATAGTGAACAAGTACTTTCTGAAGGTCAACAACCCTTTAATACAGTCGTTCGATAAACCCAAACGCCATTTTGAGATTTTGCTACCGTTTATGGGTGCTTCGAGTTCTAAACAAAATTAAAAAAAAACGTTTTCAGCATTTTAAAAGCATCATATCCACAAATATCACTGAAGAGCACATTTAGATATCAAGTACACATAAATAATTTATTCTAGGTAAAAGACACAATTCCAACTCTAGACGATTGTACGTCGTTCACAAATTCATATGTACCTGTTGTAAATCAGCCTATATTGGTTCCAGGATTTGTCACCTAGAGGCATGAATTAAAGAACATGTGTGCCAGGACAGCTAATAATACAGACTTCAGCATTCTCTGCTCTTGGAATAAAAAATTCTTTACTGATCAGAGAACTGAAATCAGAACTAACAAAGACCACTAGATAACATAAAAAAGGTGAATAGATATGTGGCGCTAATAGGTACTGCTGATTAACAGATAGTATTAGGGTTAAACATGTACTACTGATTAACAGCGAAAATGTTCTGTAGTATTAGGGTTAAATATGTACTACTGATTAACAGGGGAAATGTTCTGTAGTATTAGGGTTAAGTATGTACTACTGATTAACAGGGGAAATGTTCTGTAGTATTAGGGTTAAATATGTACTACTGATTAACAGGGGAAATGTTCTGTAGTATTAGGGTTAAGTATGTACTACTGATTAACAGAGGAAATGTTCTGTAGTATTAGGGTTAAATATGTACTACTGATTAACAGCGAAAATGTTCTGTAGTATTAGGGTTAAATATTTACTACTGATTAACAGGGGAAATGTTCTGTAGTGTTACAGTTAAACAGGGAGAATGTTGTAGTACTAATGTTACGTCCATATTGAGCGAATTAGTGAAGCATTTGTAAGATTGATTTTTTAAATAATCATTGTTCTGTTGGAGATATTCGATTATGTGTTTCCTAAAACTTGATTTATTTCAGTGTGTCCAAAGGGAACGTACAAGACAGGCGCCGGTTCAGACCTTTGCAAGTCCTGCCCATCTAATTCTACGACACTTGAAGAAGGCAGCACAACCATTGATGACTGTTTCTGTATCCAAGGTTACAAGGGAAACCCGAAGAAAGGGGAACCATGTGTTCGTATGTGAATATAATCTAGTGCTCACTTCAAATGAAAACCATTTAAAATATAATATATATATTTATATATGCGTATATATTATTTAAAAAAAATTAATGCTACATGCACGAGGAAAGATGTCAGCAGCTTTTCGTGCTTACTATTATTCGGCATCTTTGGTAATTATTAAACTGTCATGATGATGTAGCTTACATAAAACAGCAATAACAATATTTAGGGCATACAATAACATTTTAAATTGAGGTGCTCAAATCTGAAAGTGCTATAGCAATACTGAGATTCGAGGTACAATCCTACACATGCTGCTTAAACTATAAAGAGCTACTGTATAATCACGCGTTGTTTTAAAATACAGGTAAACTTTATTGAAAACTTCCATAGAATCGTTTTTGTTCTTGAACTGAAAATAATAAAAAAATAGTTCTAAACATTCATGCACTTGATGTTAGTGTAAGAAGCTTCTACCTGTACTATACTTCTTTCTATACAGCTGTGGAATGTGTTGGATTGGCTCCTCCAGATGGTGGTGTTTTGATCCCTCCCAAATGTGGAAATATCTATAATTCTACTTGTTCATTTAAGTGCAATGAAGGGCACTGTCCTTTTTTTTGCAACAAAACACAGGGACCACTTAAACAACCATGGCATATTCTACCCTCTGAGCCTCGGAGATGTCTTGATACCAGAAGGTGGTCAGGAGAAGAGTTTCATTGTGAGAGTAAGTATAAATAACCAAATAAGTTTAAATCTGTTCTGTGATGTTGATTTTTATATTGTAACAAAAAGGAAGATTTATGGATTGCACAACAAAACAATATCTGTAAATGGCTCTCAATATTTGAAATATTTCTTGACAATCCTAAATAAAATAGGAGTTGATTAATATTGTTGAAAAAATTAAGTACCCCAAAACATTTATTTTGATTTATTGCTGTAAGGGTTATTTTGCTTGACCAATTAAGGAGGATTATTTTGATGTATTGCTGTAAGGGCTACTTATCTTGACCAATTAAGGAGGATTATTTTGATGTATTGCTGTAAGGGCTACTTATCTTGACCAATTAAGGTGGATTATTTTTTATGTATTTCTGTAAGGGCTATTTATCTTGACCAATTAAGGTGGATTATTTTGATGTATTGCTGTAATGGTTACTTCTCTTGACCAATTAAGGTGGATTATTTTTGATGTATTGCTGTAAGGGCTACTTATCTTGACCAATTAAGGAGGATTATTTTGATGTATTGCTGTAAGGGCTACTTATCTTGACCAATTAAGGAGGATTATTTTGGTGTATTTCTGTAAGGGCTATTTATCTTGACCAATTAAGGTGTATTATTTTGATGTATTGCTGTAATGGTTACTTCTCTTGACCAATTAAGGAGGATTATTTTGATGTATTGCTATAAGGGCTACTTATCTTGACCAATTAAGGTGGATTATTTTGAGGTATTGCTGTAATGGCTACTTATCTTGACCAATTAGGTTGGATTATTTTGAGGTATTGCTGTAATGGCTACTTATCTTGACCAATTAGGTTGGATTATTTTGGGTACTACTATTTATTCCAAAAAATATATGTCAATGAAACTGATGTAGTGCCTTTTAACCATATTTATTGTTCAGTATTTTTTATTTAAGAGATTTTTTCTACAACATTAGGAGAAGACCTTAGAAATGTATTTTAAAACAACATTACATAACACATTATATTTCCTGTAGAAATACGATGTTCTGCCTTGGCATACCCTGATAATGGAAACCACAACTGTACAGCATCAGAATTCAGTTTTGGAACGACCTGTCTTTTAAGTTGTAATAAAGGTTACACACTGCAGGGCTCCAATCTCAGAACATGTCTTATGAATGGCTCGTGGACTGGAGTAGAAACGTTTTGTCAAGGTAAATGTTTTCACTTAAAAAAAATTGAAGTTTAATTCAGTAACTTAACAGTTTACCTCAGTTTAATTAAGTATCAAAGATAACACAATAGTCAACATTAGAAGAAGAAGACTAACACAATGATCAACATTGCCTTATTATGTAGAAAATATAGAGATGAAATAAAGTGTTGCTGAAAGTCACTTTGTATAATCTCCAATTGAACATATTTATACTGTTTGAGTCTATAACATTTCAGAAAGTACGACCTACTTAGAACGGAATACAGACATCATGCTTATTATAACATTACCATTACCATGTTTGTAGATACAAATTAATTCTGTAGTTCTGACTAAATGTTTTTTGATGATGAGAAATAAATATAAAACGACGACTTGATAAGCGGTATCTTTATATTTGCAATATGTAGTTTCCTTAGTTTTATTTGACAAAACATATAATAATTCAAGCTCTTGTTACGTATTAGAATTTCAAATAGCCTGAACTTGAGTCAACCGATACTTTAAATTTAGTACTTAAATCGTACTTTGGATTTAACAATTACGTAAAAGGCGATATATAGTCAGTTTATGATACTTGCCAACAAGGTTGATACACACACAGTTTTTAAACACAAATATGTTTTAATATACAAACAACAATACAATTTACAATGACAGTTATTACACACAATGATTTACATATAAAAATTTTACAAACTTACAAGCAATATGAAGTCTTTTTTTTCTAGTCTGGAACTTCCTTGATATCTTATCGAGGGTTCACGATGAGCGAGTTAATTACGAGTAGATGTAAGTACAATTCACTTAACGGGGAACTAGCTAGTCCTGTTGTTCTTGCTGATCACACGCCGATATTCTTCTTACCGGTGACGTTAGTAAGGTTTTCGTAAAAGTACTAATGACCGATGTGAAGTTAAATGGTTTGTAATGTTTGAACTTTGTAAATGCTTCTGGTCAAATATCTGAAGTTTTCCGATTGATAGGCGTTATAATAATTACAGTTATAGCTTTCGAAGTTTATAGCACACCAAACCAATAACAGATAGTCTACTTGGGCACGTCGCGTGGATTATATTTATTAGCGTGTGGAGAGTTTCCAGAAAATTAAGATTACGTAATAATACAAAGTTACATTAAGCGTTTACGTACACACATATATTGTTGATTCTTACTTTCGAGAATATTCAACAACTTTGGAGAATAGGCGGGAGTTTTGCAATACATATTTAACAGTATAAGCTATGCATATTTTTAAATATAAAATTAATCTAAGAAACGTTGATATTAAAGTAAATATATAATAATAAATTCATCACAACTCCCTCCTTAGAGAATTAAAAATTTGCATTATACATTTTTTAACTAATATATTATATATATATATATTAACAACATTACATTAAATATAATACATTATTCAAAGGATTATACAATTTCAATAATCATGACAGTATAGAACACAATTAATACAAATAATCTTATGATCATAAAGTTACATAGCATAGCACGTGATAGTGTACCAGCACAAATGTTATCAATCCCTTTGACATGGATTATCACCAAATCTCAGTCTTATGTTTTGTTTTTCTTTTCTTTCTTTCTCTCTTCTTTTTCATTCTTTCTGTATTTTTCTTTCTTCCTTTCATTCTGTCATTTTCTTTCTATCTTTCTGTTTTTTCCTTCTTCCTTTATTTCTGTCTTTTTCTTTCTCTCTTTCTTTTTTTATATAGATATCCCATCGTGGGTAACAATACTAAGACAATGTCCTCAGTACGAAACTTACGTTCTTCAAAAGCTGGGATAAGTTTCAAAGGAGCAACAGGAATTTTCTGGCTAGGTTTTCCGACCAACTGACAGGTATGACACCTTTTACAAAACTGAGAAACATCTTGCCTAATTTTTGGCAAAAAGAAATGTCTCATAATTCTGTCACGTGTCTTGTTGACACCTAAATTACCTCCCATGGGGAGTTCATGGACAACTTTCAATATTTCAGAACGATATGCTTTGGGAACAACGAGTTGATAAACAATAGCCCAGTCCTCTGAAGCTGGCACATCTGGTAGTCTCCATTTCCTCATAAGCACACCATTTTTGAAAAAATGTCCATTTGGAACTTTCTTCAGTTCATCTTTTGGGAGTGCATATTTAAATAGTGAAGAAATCTGCAGATCTTTTTCTTGCTCAGCAATCAGTTTACTTGTAGTAAACGGAACTTCACCAGGTGAATCAGATCCCTCACGTCCATAATTGTCACTCACCGAGATATTGTCAGTAGGACGATCATCCACAAGATCCCCGTCGGATCCTAAAAATTCTGAGACAAATCTATAATATCGTCCTCTGAATCCATATCTATCATTTATTTTTAGCTTAATTTCTTAGCCTGAGCTCGAGTCACAGCACACGAGGGAGTACATCTGGATTATCCTCAACGACAACATCATCCTTAGATGAAACAGTGATCGGCTCTCTAACCATTTTAGGTTCGGCAACAACTTTCCCTCCAGCCAAATCGTTTCCCAACAACAATGATACACTCTTAATTGGCAGAGTAGGTCTTACTCCAACCACAACTGGTCCCGAAACTAGATCTGATGCTAAATAAATGTTATGAAGAGGAACATTAACAAAGCCACCCTCAATACCCTGGGCAATAATACACTCAGTGGCAGAACTCGAATCTAACGGCAATACACCTTCTAATAACAATGATTGAGTCGCTCCAGTATCACGTAGAATACGTATGGGTATGGGGTGCCAGTATCATTTGTCAAAGACACAGAACCAACAGACACAAAAGGTCTAAATTACTCTCTGATTACATCAGCCTTTATATCAGTAGCCAACTCAACAACATTGGGTGATCTGGTGAAACTACATCCATATATGGACACAAAAGCACTGGGTGTTGCCTCCTCTTTTTTTTATTTTTCAAACACCAACAATTGGACATAATATGACCAGGTTTTTTACAAAAATGGCAGACAGGCCTTGACTGTTTTAAAGAAGCTTTATCCTGACTGTCAGAAGATTTTGAACTAGAGGAGCTGGATTTTTTTTGAAGAATCCTCAACTTTAGTGGATTGAACCAATGCAGGTTTTTGTTGAGATGGTAGGAACTTTCTTTTATGAAAAGTGGTTTTATGTGTTAAAGTGTAGTCATCTGAAAGAGCGACTGCTTCCTGAAGTGTTTCAACTTTCTTTTCATTTGAGTAAGTTTTGAGGTCGTTACGTGCACAATGTTTAAATTCCTCAATTAGACATAATTGTCTTAGTTTGTCGAAATCATTACTAATGTGCATAGAATTACACTATTTGTCAAAATAAACATCTTTTTCATGGGAAAATTGCATATCAGTTTGGTTATCTTGCTTGCGATAAACTCGAAACTTTTGGCCTCTTGTACTAACTCGTATGCTTTGAGAATAGCTGCTTTAAATTTATCATAATTCGTACAATCTTCTAAAGAGAGAGAGAGAGGCATAAGATTCTTGTGCTTTACCAGTTAAGACACTTTGTAATAATAATGAACAATTTTCGTTTGGGCCATTCCATGGTTTGGGCAACCTTCTCAAAATGTTGGAAATATTTATCAACTTCATTTTCATTGAATGGTGGTACTTTGATATATCGATTAAATTCAAAGTTGTCATTTTGCCTTGGTCGATCAGAGTTGAGTCTGATTGACATTTCTTTCAGTCTCATTTCTTGTTCGACTTCAATGCGAGCTTTTTCGGCCTCGAAACGTTTATTTTCTCTTTCAGCTTAAATAAGAGCTTGTTCTTTCTTTTTCTCGGCTTCGGTATGAGCTTGTTCGAGCTCGAGTTGTTTGAGTTTTAGCTGGATCTCTAATTTATCTCTATCACTCAACCCCAATTTGGCTAGTAGGGACACTAGAGTATTTCTCTAATGCTTCCTCAGGCAACAAATCATCATTGACTAGTATTTCGATAATACGCTTTTTAGTTCATTTTTTTCTCATTGATCTTTTAAATTCTAGTTCTAAAACTTTGGAAATTTCGAGCAATCCATTTTTTTTTTATACATTTCTAATTGTTCGAGGGAGGATGATTCAAAAAAATATTGATAATCAGACATGACCAAATCTTGTTGGCACTGATAAATATGAATTCAATGTGATTTAAATTTAAATTTAGATTGAATTTTGTCTCTGATTCAGATCCCAGACGAGCCCCCAATTTATTATGTTACATATTAAAATTTCAAATAGCCTGAAACTGAGATAACTGATAAATTTAAATTTAGCACTTAAATTGTAAATTGGATTTAATAGTTAAGTAAAAGCCGATATATAGTCAGTTTGTGCTATTTGCCAACAAGATTGATACACACAGTTTTCTTTTTAACACAAATATGTTTTAATATACAAAATCAATACAATTTGCAATAACAGTTATTACAAATAGTTATTTCACACGATGATTTATATACAAAAATGTTACAAACTTACAAGCAATATAAAGTATTTTTTTCTTTTTCCTAGTCTGGAACTTCCTTGATATTGTTACGCATCTGCTTGTTTGTTAATACCGGGTATAAATTTATTCAGAGGAACTTCAGCAATACAAGACCCTTCTTGATTAAAACTAGTTTATTTTTTTCGATACACACTTTTAGTACACAGTAATTTCACGATCACTACCATTCTAAACTTAACTACTTTTATAATACACGCGAACAGCATTAACAGACGTTAATCACAGCGCTTCACCAAAAAACACACACTAGCTCGAAACAGAATCGTAAATTACCCGGAACTATCTTCATTGATTTCCGGCAGGCTTTCTCTGCCAGGCTTATATACTAAAAAAAAAAAAAAAAGAAGGGCGTCCCGAACAAACTAGGAAATTCATGATCATTCGAGAAACTCCTCGCACAAGCCACCAGCGCCAATGCGCCAGCAGCGTCACGTGACTTTCGCTGTCGTAACAATATTTTATCGAGGGTTCACGATGAGCGAGTTAATTACTAGTTGATGTAAGTACAGTTCGCTTAACGGGGAGCTAGCTATCTCTGTAGTTCTCGCTGATACGGATGCGGACTTTTTGTTTTACGAACATTTAGCTACCGCCATATCGTTACTAAGACAACTTGTTTAGTCAGATTTTACATGTATACTAAGTTACGTACCTGACCATCAAGAAAGAAAATTCACCAATCACAAAAAACACTTGTAGCAAAACATTTCAGAACGATGTGGCGTTAACTTGGATGCCGTAACGAAATGTTTTTCATAACAAAAAGTTCGTGTCACAACCTGTTCGTAACTAAATGTCCCAGACTCGGCTGATAAGGATCCGCATCTGTTTGAGAGTCAGAGTGTTCAGATAAAACTATTCTCAGAGGCGCATATTATCAAATCATCATTCAGAAAAGCCACATGAAGTAAAGAAAAATAACAAACGCAGTTCTTTAGAGTGGACACTTTACGAGTCCACTGACTCAAGAACAGTTATCATAGCTTTGAAATGACTCAAGAATAACTAATGCAGATCTGAGACGACTTTACAATAACAGATATACAGCTGTGAAATGACTCAAGCCTAACAAATACGGCTCTGAAATAATTCGAGAACAGATGTTAGCTCTAAGGCGACTCAAGACTAGTTAATACAGCTCTGAGACAACACAATATTACCAAATACGGCTATGAGACGACTCAAACTACCTAATATGGCCTTAAAGTGCGATAAATTGTTTGTTTGTTTTAAATTATGCACAAAGCTACACAAGGGCTATCTGTGCTCGGTTTTTAGCGTTGTAAGTCCGCAGACATACCGCTGTGACACTGGGGGGCAGCGCGATAAATTCTGTAATATTTGGACATAGCAGATCTATTACCAAAACACATTTCAATTAAAACACACAAAACATTATGATAAAAGTGACAAAAATATTAAAGTATTTGCATATTTTTTCTTTGAATTCATCTGATATAATTCACTTCGTATTTGTTTACTATTATGAGATAGCAAGGAAATGTGTGTTTTCTGAAAACAAAGCCGCATCAGACTATCTGCTGTGTCCATCGAAGTGAATCGAACCCCTGAGTTTAGCAATGCAAATCCGAAGACTTACCACTGTCCCACAAGGTTACACTAGTAAGGAAAATATCATAACATGTATATCCCTTTTAACCACGTGTTTTTCACACACACGTGGTTATTTTGCTTTGAACTATATTTGATAATTTCTCTATTTCCAACAGGTGTTTATTTTTGAAATTAGTATTACTTTTAATCAATTATATTTGTTCTGATTGCCATGTACGAATTTTCTAACCAACTGTATTTACACTGATTGTTATGTGAGAATTTTCTAACCAACTATGTTTACACTGATTGTTAAATAAGAATTTTCCTTTATTTCTATATATTTTTATGGTAAACAAAAACTTTATCTATTTCACTTCTTGTTTTCAGTCGTTGAATGCTCACCATTGAAAATAAACAGATTCCTGAAAGTGAAGCCTGCTCCTTGTTACAAGGACACTAATGCTTACCTTACAGCTTGCCAGTAAGTGTCTTTCAATCGCACAATAGGAAGAGTGGCTTATAAATGATTTCTTCATGAAAATTACCCAACTCTCTAGTAGTTCCATTTAAGAATAATACTGTTTTTAAAACCTTAAATTTTGTACATTTTAAGTTAGTCATCTGAAATGTATTTACTAAATAAGTAAATGATTTATAAATAAATACTATTTAAGCTAGAAATAAAAAAAATTCACAAACATTAACATTCTTAGTTAACACTAAACTGTGAATATCTTGATAATCATTTGGTTGATTATTTGGTGTTGTCATATTCAAAACAATATTGTGAATAGCTTGATAAGTATTTGGTTGATTATTTGGTGTTGTCATATTCAAAACAATATTGTGAATAGCTTGATAAGCATTTGGTTGATTATTTGATGTGTTCATATTTAAAATACTATTGTGAATAGCTTGATGGGCCTGTGGTAGATTATTTAATGTGTTCATATTCAAAACAATATTGTGAATAGTTTGATAAGCATTTGGTTGATTATTTGGTGTTGTCATATCCAAAACACTATTGTGAATAGCTTGATGGGCCTATGGTAGTGTTACGTCTCTGGTCGTTAGTTAATTACTGGTAAAAAGTCTTTCCGAAGAACTTCATCGATACAAGTCCTTTCTCAATTAAAACTAGTTTATTCTTTCTCAATTCAACTTTGCAATACACTTAATTTCCACAGTCCCTTTAACTCAAACACACGCTATAATTCTCAACGAACGATTCACGCACTTTACTTACTACCGCGCTTGACTCAATTGTCTGTCTATATCTTCAATCTCTCTGTCTGTTATTCAAATTGTTGCCGTCACTTTATTTGCCGGCTTATATACTATAAGAGCGCCATTTTAGCAACCGCAAGGACGTTCGACAAGTTCCTCGATCTTTCTAGATACTCATTACGTGTTACCAGCGTCACGTGACCTCCGCTGTCGTTACAGTAGATTATTTGATGTGTTCATATTTAAAACATTATTGTGACTAGCATGATGGACCAATGTTAGATTATGTGATGTGTTCATATTTAAAACTATTGTGAATAGGTTGATGGGCCAATGTTAGATTATTTTATGTGGTCATATTTAAAATACTATTGTGAATAGCATGATGGGCCAATGTTAGATTATTTTATGTGGTCATATTTAAAACACTATTGTGAATAGCTTGATGGGCCTATGGTAGATTATTTTATGTGGTCATATTTAAAATACTATTGTGAATAGCTTGATGGGCCTATGGTAGATTATTTTATGTGGTCATATTTAAAACACTATTGTGAATAAGTTGATGGGCCTACGGTACATTATTTAATGTGGTCATATTTAAAACACTATTGTGAATAGCTTGATGGGGTTATTTTATGTGGTCATATTTCAAATGATATTGTGAATAGCTTATTAAATTCAGTTCTTTTTTTTTTGTTGACGATTTTTAAATTTATATTTTCCTTACGATGAATAATTTTGGTTTTTAATCAAATTCGATGTAAACTGTACCAATAATTTAAGAAAGTTTCAGATCTATTCATGGTCATAATTTTTTATCATCCTAAAATTAACATTGAGCATTAGCATCAGAAATCGATAATATAGAACTGTTACCTATTAGAATTTCGAATAGTCCGAAGCCGAGTTAAATAATTTACATTTAGTAGTTAAATTGTGCTTTGGATTTAGTATTTAAATGTAAGCCGATATATTAGTCAATTTACGATATTTGCTAACAAGATTGATACACACCGTTTTTAACACAAATACTTTTTAATATACACA